CTTTGTAAATTAGTTTTAAAATTGTTTTTAGACAAGTGACAGGATAAAAGGATTTAACCCTTAAAAAAAAGCAACTTAATTACATGGTTGAAAATGAAGTGATTCAAAATTATTAAACCTGCGTTAATCAGAGTATTACAGTTTTGTTACATAATCAACAATTCATTCTAATTTCTACTCTGTGCCCAAAATTGTACCAGTTTATTATAGAAGAGCATTTTTGTTGCTTTCGTTCGCGCCCACATATTGGTACTGCGCCAGTTTCGACAAAGCGCCAAGTCTCCGTGCAGAATATTTCGTTAGTTTTTAATGTAGATTTGAATAGCTTCGAGCTGCAATTTTCATAGTTTCAGTTTACGTTGACTGTCGAACGAAAATTACCTAATTCTGTTTAATGCTAGTTAAAAGTTTCCTTCAAAATAAGACATTCTCAGAACTCAACCATAATCTGTCTTGGTTGCCTTAATTTACGGAGGGCAGCGATTTAAACCATGCAAAGTTGTTCTTGGTTTGCAGCCCAGCAAACAGTTTTTATTTCTATTATTATCCGTCAATGAACAGCCGACCCTATATTTGGGTTTACGACTACTAATGTTAAACTCCGTAGTCATGTAATTTTGAACCAATTCAGAAGACAAGGAAACGTCTGGATCAGTAGCCCGATAGGTATTGATTTGTTATGGAAACATGGAGGACTTTGCGACACGACAGATTTAAGGTGCATCAGTCACTATTTATTACAGTCTTCGGCCGGTGGGGATCAAACCCTCGAACTCTTGGACATGGACCCAGTGCGCTACCGACCAGCCTATCCCGGCCTATACTAGATCTATTGAAATTCTAAAATTAAATAGTATAGGTAAATATTATTTTACTTTCAGTAAAATATAATTTTGTCAAACAGTGTCTTGATTATAAGGCATACGAGGCTATAGTGCCGAAGATCTTGAAATTCTAAATTGGGTCCCTCTTTGAAATATAAATGAAAGTAACTGACCTAAAAAAAAATTGATGTATCTTACAGCTTTACATAACAAATTAAATCTGTTTTTATACTAAAGGCAGTGAGAAGTGGTAATGTGCATACTGCCGACATTTTTAAATTCTGCGGGTTTTCATCACTGATCAGAATTTCAAAAATTTCTTTATAGATTCAGCGAAGCACTAAAATTTAATATTTATGTAGACTGGTTCATGTACTAAAATATAATGTTTATATAGACTGTTCATAATATTTGAGTGCTACGAGCTAGAGAAACATATTTTATGCCTCTTAGAAATAGTCTAGATCTGATTTTAAATATTAAAACAGTACTAGTTTTTTTATCATTTCAATTATAATCCTGCATTCATTAATTGCAAAATACCGTACTTAAAATTTCATTATTTATCATTCATTTCATGTTTTGTGTGATACGAAAGCTGTTGTGCTTTTTAAGTATATCGTTTGCATTGTTAATGCTTTAGTTTTCAAATGAGTTATTTTCATTAGTTGATTTCGTGCGCAAGTTAAAATCAAAATTCTTAAATCCTATATTAATATTCTACGGTATTGATGAGGAAAAATTATACTAGATTTGATTTCGGCAGATATTTTCCTTGCGGTAGCATTTGACCTCAAACTGATCAGTACAATAAAATTTAAGTTTAAAAAAATTAAGTTTACATGAATTAGACATTACATAAAATGGATTTTTACTGCAATAAGTTTGATATTTAAGAAAGCAGTTTATAAAATATTTAATTGTCTCAATAAAAATGTTTACTTTGAGTTCTTTTGGCAGCGTATTCAATTCTGGTGAAATGCCTGTTTTCTTAAAACTTCATTAACCACAGGGAAGCTTGATGATGTGGATCGGAAAGCTTCGAAACAGCTGGGGGATTTGAAGTGACAGTGAAGTGCTGATTTGTTTGTTTTTCAACGGAATAAATTAATCTGAAATGTTTTTAAGCCCGCCCCTGTAGATTTCTAATTTGTCTATGCGTAAATTTGAAATTGGATTAAATTCTGATTTACTTTGAAGCATTAAGACTCCATAATTTTGGCAGTTTTATAGGTCACAATCTTAGTGCTTAAACTATTTTAAAACTTTAACTGGAATATTAAACACATTTCAATTCTTTAAATGAAATTAAAGACATGCATCGGTACTGTTTAGTTTTGAGACAGTTCTTGCACTTTTTGTTATCTCTATAGTTGTATTGTATCTCGTATTTCTCTTTAAATGTAAATAATCTGTTTCGCTGAAATGTAGATTTTGTAAAATATTGTTTTAATCTGAAACAATGTAATTGTTATAGGTACTAATAAAAGAGAATGTTTTTAAATGTGTTTGTATTCATTGATATAATTCCTATCACTTGAAAAAAGTTTGAAACATGAAGCACACTTTATTCTTAAGAAAATGATTTTATTGTATGCTTTTACAAATGGGTTGGATATGAAACTCTTGTATGATGGTTTAAAGCATCCCGTATAAATGTACAGACCTCTTGAGTGGGGGGGGGGAGGGGAAAACTTTAAATTCACTTCAAAATTAACTTTAACGGATACGAATTTAGTTTAAACGGCAGTTTCAATAATTCTTCAGAATTTACTTTAACTTTAAATGTGCTGTGTTAGTTTTTGAATATATTATTTTTTTGTAAGGAGACTTTCAGATAAACGGAGGTTCCAGAACTCTAGAGGACTTTCTGACCTCCTTTAATTTAAATTTTAGGTTTTTAAATTCTTTCGGTTTTACCTTGAGTAAAACTTTAATATGGCTCAGCAAAAGCCATGTTTTGACTTTGTTGACTGACTATACATCCACTCCATATTAATGAAAGAGTTAAGGCTGACAACAACGTCGCTTTGAAACTAAACCGCGGTAACTCAAAAAAGCAAGTTTTTCAGGAGAACGATTTCTAACTTTTCAAGAAAGCGAATCGCACCATTGCGATAGCGATTCATCTGCTCTCTAAATTAATTTTATAGAACTTATGAAAATAACACGTTGTTTCTCTAAAATGGTGATTTTTTTTTTACACAAAATGACCCAAATATCTCGTGTTTCGATTTTTTTTTTTTGTTTTTTTTTTTTGAGTTATTACGGTTCAGTTTCAAAGCGACGATACAGGAAACTTATCATTTGGGATTGGATTTGGTTAAAATGTCGGAAAATTCATTACTGAAGTTAGTAATGAGGATGGATAGGTAATTGCACTTAAACCAGTGTTAGTATATAATTCAATTAATAAGAATTTAAAAAAAAAACCTTTTATTTCATAGAAATTATCAAAATTTAAGAAGTAAAATATTTCAATAATAAAAATATATAGTAGAAATTATAGTTTGTGTTCTCCACCAACAATCTTGTTGCACACATGTGCTGACACTCCCCGTTTCTATCATTCACAGAATTAAAAATATAGAGCATAATAGAATGCAGAAAAAACTTAAAAAGCAGATTACGGCGCATTGACCTGAATTTCCACAAGTGAGCCGTGGTGGCTCAGGAGATAGAGTGTTCTCCTTCTAATGAGGTAACCCGGATACGAATCTCAGCGATGGCTTGTAGATATGAATTCCGCATCTGGCTCACACTGACCACAGTCACCAGATGGATCATGGGTTAGTCTCCTTGCCTTCAGACTTTCAGTGGGAGGTTCTCACGGTCTTCCTCTCCATATAACGCAAAATCGGGTTAGTTCCATCAAAAAGTCCTCCATGAAGGCAAGTTTCTCCCAATACTTGATCCAGGAGTTGCTTGTTTTCTGGATTGAGTTCAAAATTACAAGGCTACGGAGTTGAACATTAGAAGTCGTAAACCCATAAATTGGGTCGGCTGCTATAAAATAAAATTTCTACTTGTTTAAACTGAATATTCGACGACGATTAAAACATATTTCTAAAAATAACGCGCTACCACCTCTCGTAACTCAATTTACTATTTACGATGCTGTGAGTGAAGTAGTGAGACTATAGCGAGAATTTCTGTCATTCACAAAACTGGCTGTATTCTGTAGAATGAATAAGGGCTCGGTTTTGTAGGTCGGAGCCCGAAAAATTCTTACCCGAGCTCGAGATACACAAGATAGAACCAGAGTCCATTACAGCCTGAGATATACGTCGGATAAAGGCTTTTGTCTAAACAGGGGAATTATTCCTTTAAGACCTTTTAACGTAATTAAATTTTTACACTTAATAACTGAACACAACGTTTGCTTGAAAGTAGTAAAAAAAAATTGATGAACATTTTATCTGGAGTCAGAGCCAACCCAGGCCCGAAACCTCTTCAGTAAACTAGTATAAGCCCGTCTCTGTCGGTATTCTGTTAGACGAATGTTTAGTTATCTTGAGTTAAATCTGTTATGACTCTATTATTTCCAAACCGATGGATTTTGTTTTGTTCTTTATAATTTTTTACAAGTTTTAGATTTCAATTTAAAATTTGCTTTAAATATTAAACTGAATTTAAATTTCAGCTAATTAAGGAAGAGTTTAAGGCGTAAAAATCTTTCTATTTTCTTTTGTACTAAAATTCACAGTATGCAAAGTAACGCATTTTTTAATGATATAATGTATTAAGAACTAATATTAAATTCAACTAATATTTTTTCAAGTGGTTTCTTCCTCTTTTCAGTATTCGGTTTTGCCCTTGCGTTTAAACATTAAAGATCATTTCTATGCTCAAATTCAGCTATATTGTTACCGATGATATGACGGCAATTTGATTTGAAAAAAGTAAAAACATTCAACACATGCAATGAGGGAATATTTGTATTATTCAGCTTTTATCTTAATTAAGTGTAAAATAAAAGATATAATTGAAGTTTATGCAATTTAAAAAATATTAGGTGTACTACTTTAACTAATTTTAATTTAATGTTTTTCGTTGCTATAGAGATCATTGGTTTTAAATTTTTACTAAAAGCATTAAACATTCCAGCAAAATCCCGTTGTGGGTTATAGAGTGTTAAAAAGGTTTAAGATTCAAAATTTGGAGATAAACACCAAAATGGTGGCAATGCGTTCAGCACTGCTCATCGACAGCCCTTACTTCACAGCCAAACTTGTACCCATCGTTTTGAAGCTGGGTAGACTTTAAATTGCTGCCAGAGATCGAGCCCAAAATTTGATAATGACAGCTTAGCGCTTTAACCAGTCTACTATCGGTTTTCGAAATTTTTACTAAAATTGAAATTTAAAATTTTTTCTCAAAACCACTAAATAAATAAATGAATAAGTGAGTCAGTTCATTTCGCAACACTGAATAAAAATGATAGATAAAGTAAGCAAATAATAAAAATAAATAAAATAAATTTATATAAAATTATTTAAGATCAGTATAGTATTGTGGGGAAGTGGAACCCATATTTGCCCTATGTATAGATAAACTCCTTGAGATGGCTTAAATTTAAATAGTTAATTTCCTAAAAAATGAATTTTTTATACAGAAAATAATAATCTCTTCCCTGTTTTTATAGGTTTTGCTTAAAGCAAAGTTAAAATAATTTTTTCTATGTTAATTGTATCCTTTAAATAAATAAAAGTGAATGGAAAAAAATCAGTTTTTTTTAAACTTAAATCTAAAATCGATCATTAATATTATATTTTCTTGCACTTAGAGTAACCAAGTTTTGAAAATATTTCCAACAATACTTAACAATGAAACTTTGACAACAATAAACTAATCGAGAGTTTTATAAAATTTTAAGAAAGATATTGTTTAAACAATTGTTCACATTGTTGCAAACGAAGCATCTGATTAAAAAAGTTTTATTTTACTCATTCTTGTTTGAGATTTCTCAAATGCTGGTTGTCTTTTGTGAGATTAAAAAGTGAGAATTATGGATAAAAGCGATTTATATCGTTTTGCTCTTTTGAATCATTGGAGAAAGGAAAGGGAAAAGTATCCCCGACCTAATCGTAAGTGTATAAAAACATACTTCCTAATATTTTTTAAAAAATTTTATTATTTATTCAAATGTACCTACAATATTGTTAAAAAGATATGAAACTTCCTTACAGAGATAAAAAATTTTCCCAGAAACCTCAATTTAATGAAGATTGAGAAAATTTCGTAAGCATTAAAAAAAATTGACAAAAAATGTTTGAGCATATTTTATAAATGATACTATTTGTATTAAATTGAAAAAACAACTTTATGTATAATTTAATAAAACTTCTCTTTTTAAAATGGGTAATCCAATTTAACTTTTGGTGCACTACAGTATTAAATAACAAATGAAGAAATATTCAAATAGAAATTTGCAGGGAAAACAGGTAAGAGTATAGAATTGGGTACCGCTTGTGGATTGGGCACTCCAATCTGAAGCTTAAACTGAATGTTAAATCTGCCATTTTCCAGACATTTCTATCCAGATTTCTTATTTCCTATTTTGCTCAATTTGTCGAAAACAAAAAAAATCTTAATTTGAAACAGTTTTCCCTGTTTTCTGTATAAAAATATAAAAAAGAAGAAAAAATTCCAAATAAAAACTTGAAAAGCGGCAACCAATTGTACATTTTTATTGAGAAATATAAATATGTTATAGATTTTATGTTTTTATATATCTGACTCAAACATTTAAAACAGTCAAAATATTACGCTAGAATGTTATTTAACCATTTGAGTGTTATTAATTCACAATAAATAAAAACTGGTGTAAATACCAATCAGAATGTGTTAAAAAAAACTATGAAATATTGTATGATATTTCAAGGCAATGCCGAAAGAAGTGTTATCACATTCATTCAAGTAGTTAAATGTAATCTCCAATGAATAATTAAGCTTCCCCCAAGCTGAGATGCTTTTAATCCATTTGTAAAGCATTTTCCCTAACCTTGGCATAAATTTGGAAAGCGCCAAACGATAGATATATATTTGTAAACAATCGAAAAGAAAAGGTAAAAGTTTGATTTCGATATTGTAATGCTGAATGAGATGTGTCAAATCATTACCAGATGCATTAAATTATTTTTGCATCTAAGAATACTGACATTGGCGCATTTTTATATTGCCAGTAAGTGTTGGTGAGAGTTTGTTGTGTTCTTCCAATACCTCCTAGAAGATAGAAGGCCTCTCAACGGGTTATCATAAACAAGAAATTTAATCCTTTAATAGTCCAAACGTAATGACATCTTTCGTATTAACCATCATTGTCCAGCTTAGTAACCCGAACTTGGCGAACAAAGGCGTATCCTTTGGCCAAGAACCCGAACATAGAGAAAACGCACTTATTCTTGGATTCCCAAAAATCACCAATACTGTTGCAATGCTGCTTCATTCATTTTAGTAATATGAGCCACTTACACTGTGGTAATGGGATCTAAATCTACTTATATTAGTGTTTAGTATAATAAGCTTCTTAGGACTTTCCTAAAGGAATAAAGGATAAAATTGCTTTAATGAGGTAAATTTTGACAATGGATACTGAGTATTTTGGCAATTGCACAATGTCAAATTACACTGAATATAGTTAATATTTATATTGAATTTTAAAAAGCGGGTTTTGCTTAATATAATAACGTTAAGTCACCGGGAAACTCCAAGAGTAAATCTATGTTAAAATTAATAAAATAAAAATTAAAGAAAAAATGAAATTATTCAAGCTTCAATAAATGTGTCGGTATATGGTTTTCAGTTTTGCGCTTGATTAAGCAGTGTTGATCAATACCGTTTATTGATTATTTACATTTTTACAGCGTACGAAAAACAACCATACGGCTATTTTTTTAAAACTTTTTTTTTAATAAAATGGAGGTTTCCAAAATTACATACCTTTTTCAAAGAAGATTTTCTACCTTTTTTATGAATTTCTTTTATTATTGAGCAGAATAAACACTTCAGAGATTATTTTAAAACTAGTTTTCTATTCAAATTATTAAATTTAATTTTAATTAATATTTCAGCATATGAGGATGGTAGTGAATTCGAAGATGAATTCGATTTGGATGATATTGAATTGGATGAAATTGATTTGTAAGTAGTTATATCCCTAAAGTTTCATGCCTTTTGTCATAATTTTCTTTCTTTTTTTTCAATAAAAAAGCACCCTTTTGAATACTTGAAAAATTTACACAGAAAGCAAGAACGCAATTAAAAACAGCGAAACATTTAACCCTTTGTGGTCGTATTAAGTTCATACATGGGTGTCATACTGGTAGGAATTAATTTTCAGTAAAGTAATACATAACTAACAATAATACATAATATGCAAAATTATGAAGGAAAATATAATTTATTAAATCCTTTTTATACTTTAGATATATGTAACACAATAATATGTTTCAATTTTATTTGAACATATTTATTTACAGATTTTAAAAATTATATTTTATAGGTCTCGCGTGGTATCTTTCAAAGCAGTCTTCAATATGAAGCACATGTTTTCGAGGACATGCGCCGCAAAAATGATTAGTTAGGCGTCTTCCCGGCTTTAATTTTTCTGTTTGAACATACAGAACAATCTTTACTCTTTACATCTTTACAGTGCCGCAATATATTTAGTTTGCATTACACTGTGGCTAACATCTTTGCTGTGGTGGCTGAGAGCAGACACACGACTGGAACGGTTAAAAAAAACGTTGGTGGCTGAGATTAGACATACGACCACAAAGGGTTAAAACAGCGGTCTTACTGTTTACTTATTTTGGTCAAAAAGCACTACTGCTGGTGAAAATCGACTAAGATATGATATAAACATAAAATAATGAACAGTCTATTAATAATGCGATAATGCTGACCCAATAATAAAAAAACAATCAAAAACCTATTAAAATCAAAATTTCTTAAGATACACTGTTTTATTTTCCACACTCTAAACCTAAAGAAACTCTGGAAGTCGCCTTCACAGATCAAACAAACCATTAGAAATCACGAATTTTTTTAGTAAAAATCTACAACCCTTAGACAGATTTGAAAAAATATATTCCTTTTATGATTTCAGTGATGAGGAATATATGATGGAGTTAAGAGCTGAGGTGCCATCATCTGATGATGATGGAGTTGAGAATGATGATGAGGTAGGGGATGATGATGATGAGGGGGATGAAGTTGTGAATGAGGTTAAGGATGAGTTTAATGATGATGAGGGAGATGAAGTTGAGGAGCTGAATAGGTATGTTAATTAGAATGTTTCTTAATGGCAGTTTAATATTTTAGTTAATATTATCTTCACTGTTTGAGTTATTTTTCATCCTTTTTCAGGTGACATTTTCGTAACTATTTTAAAATGAAATATTACCATAAAATTGGAAGTGACTACATATCGCTTTTTAAGTTTTATTAATCTCTATGAATAAATGGTACAGATGATTTAAAATAAATTTATTGAGAATGAATAGAATTAATGCCAGCAATTATTTAAAAGATTAAAATCTTTGCATTGACGAAAAAAAAAAATGTTTTTTTCAAAAGGCATTAACTTTACAAAAGTTTACTTAATAAAATAAAATAATTAAAAATGCAAATGCTGAAGGA